GGAGCACGTGCACACACTCCCACCACGACCAACGGACTCCACTAAAATGGCGCAACACGTGGCCGGAAACAGCTGGCACGCGCATGCGCATATCGCTCTGCGCCGTCAAAACGTGCTAAAGGGCTGGTGATAAGACTCCCAGAGATTTGTAAAGCAGGGCTTAGCTACTTTCTTTAGCGCCAATTTCAAATTTGTTTCCTCTGTAAGCATGTCCGGTTCTATTGTGATACTAACGTAAGCACCATATTCAGCATTACCAACTTCTAAAACACTTAAAATGGTTCTAATTAGAAATCCAGCTTGAAAGAGCACTCACTGATGGACTGGGTACTAGCAGAAGTAGACGTTAAGCTCAGTAGAAGAATAGGTGATCTAAACTTATAATATTTGATGGGAATGTTAGCTATCATTAGCACAGTATTAGCACCATGCTTCTTTGTAAATACGTCGTAGGGTTCTTTTGACGCTAAAAGGTGCTACGAATAGCAGCCGTTAGTACCCCAAATGCTAAACTTTTTTTACAGTGTAGCGGTGTACCAAATTTGAACGCAATCGGCCCAGCCGTTCCTGAGATCTGGAAGCGGCATTCTGCACGTGCGCACGTGCAAACGGGGTCCAAAATGACTTTTGCACGGCACCCTACTAACCGGTCCCCAACCGTGTACCAAATTTGAGCGCAATCGGCCCAGCCGTTCTCGAGATCTGGAAACGCCCCCTGCACGTGCGCACGTGCAGTAGCACCCTAACCGCAACACATGGGAATGCATTGCCTGGTGGGTGCCTACCTGTATGCCAAGTTTCAGCGAAATCGCCCCAGTAATTACCGAGTTATTGAAATGGGAACAAATTTGACACCTCTTATTGTTGTATTTTGCACGTGCAGTGGGGGTCACTCACATAGATGAAGAGTATCCGACCTTTGGTAGACGGGATGCAGCTAGGTACCCTATAGAAATGACCGCAAGACAATCGCTCAAGAAGCTGCTGAGATATGGGCCTCTAAAAATCATTACTTTTGCAAAACTGCTTGAACACCCTTGACTTTTCACGTGGCACGTGCCACGGCGGTCACTGAGATGTGTCAAAAGTAGTCAATTACGGGGTAGAAGGGATGGGGCTACCCAGCAAAAAAGACCGCAGGCCATTCGGTCCAGCGGTTGCTGAATATAAGCCTCTCAAAAGCGTTACAGGCCGGGCCGGGCCGGGCCGGGCCGGGCCGCTCATACTGAGATTTTTCCGTTATATTGAAAAGACTTCGCTTCGCTCGCTGCGCTCGCTCGCTCGTAATAACCCTAAATTTTGTTGAGCATTATTTCTGCGCTAAATTGTCGAAACCAAGCACATTTGAGGGCAATGGAAGCAGACGAGGTATGGATTTGGGGGCCATGCTACCCGATTTACATTTTAGCCCGCGCCGTGCAGTAAGGTTTACTTGGATAGCGGTAATCAGCCTGAGCTTGTCTCGACTCGAGACTTGTCTCGACTCGAGAGAGAGACTTGACGAGACTCTCGAGCAATGCCAAATCAACATGCTCATCTATATTGGAATACGGGCGAGGGCCGAGGGTTGGGAGCGCCTTAGCGTGCAACGGCTTACGGCTTAGCCACAGTTCATTGGGGGGGGGGGGGGGGCGGCCGACGGGAGTCCTACTCAAAAATGCACACAGCTCCACTAAGGAAACGAAATTACGCGGGGCGGCTCTGGAAACCCAAAGATCCGGTGGTGGTGCCCCTGTCGGCGTATCGTGGACTGGTGGAAAGTAACCAAAATTTGATTAGGTATGGGGCCCTATACGTAATCATGAGATGAGGTGCTAAGCCATCATCGTCATCGTGCCTCGTGCGCTGGGACTGAGCCGTTGAGCTTAGATCAAATCTCAGTCAGTATCAGCTTTCAACTAGAGCCATTGAATGCAGCTTTGGTCCTTTCCTCGATGCATGTAGCTGTATTCAATCGCTTCCGAATTATGTCATGATGTACCGACGTCGGGCCGAGGTCGTTTGCCGAGGTTGACGAGATCGTTTGTCGTTGGACCGACGGGGCCGACGTCGGCATGTTTACTGGGACAACGCGCCAAAAGCATCAGCCGGAGACGGGTTTCGAGCCCCGTGTCATTTGAACGCGAGGCTAGCGCGCTAACCACTAGTCACTACACCACGCAGCCATATGGCGAATCCGGTTTGTTGTGTTGGGTTATGCCCTTTCGGTCTGACAAGACCATTTCAGAGCCGGAAGAATGATAGGATGGAGAGGTCTTGGCGAGCACCCTGGGTCCAGTTCATATACCTAGAATCCCATTGCTGTTACGTGACACTTATTGGAAAGGGTGACCCCACAAATGGATTCATATAGGGGAGAGTGGGGTAATTTGGCCGTTTTTTTTTTTAGAAAACGATGTAACTTAAAATTGACGACACATTTCTGCATTTTCTCAACGCTGGCAGGTGTCGCATTCATTTTACTTTACTGGACAGTGAACTGGAAATGATAGAGTAATTACTTATATTGAAATTGTGACGTATTACAAAGGTCTGCAAGGCGGCCAAATTGCCCCACTACATAGGAGGGTTATTTGGCCGGGGGTGTGGGGCAATTTGGCCGGTGTTAGTTTGCGGTCGGGATTTTCTGTTATATTGCGAGTAAGCTTCAGATTCAGCAATGACGTGTGTCCTATGACGCATTTACCACATTTTGGAGGTTGACTCATGGGGTCACAGGGGTTAAAATAGCCAAATTAGCGGCTCTAGATGCGAAGACAGTTTTTTACGAATAACTTTTGAAGTAATCAAGCTAGGCCAAAACTTCGAGTACCATCGTAATTCTCTTGTCATTCCGCATCGAAACATATATGTGTTGACCTCGAGAAGTCAAGGTCAAAGGTTGACCTCAGGTCACGTTACCTCAGGTCGCTTGACCTCAAGGTCACGTGATTTCAAGGTCATCATGCCTATCATTCGATGCGCCTTGGCGAGCTGAACAGAATGAGACCATTTGTGCTGCTGTACCTTTTTTATGTAAGGATTTATTAGCAAAAAAACGTTTAATAACCTTTGATGACGTCACATGCTCTTACAGGTGACCAATCGGAAGTAAGGCATAAAAGTAGTCAAAGTTGGTCATGAATCATGTCATTTATTACGGAGCGAGCGAAGCGAGCGTAGTCTTTCCTTAGATTAACGGAAATTTCTGAGTATGAGCGGCCGGCCGGCCGGCCGGCCGGCCGGCCGGCCGGCCGTGCGGACGCTTTTGCGAGGCTTATATCTCAGCAACCACTTGACCGATTTACATGCGGTAATTTTTGTAGGGTAGCTTCATTCCTTCTACCAAGTATTGGACTATTCCCGATGCATGTGGGTGACCCCTTATGCACGTGCCACGTGCAAAACGAAGAGGTGTCACTTTTGTAATTGTTGCAATATCTCGGTAACTACTTGGCCGATTGCGCTGAAAGTTGGCATGTAGGTAGGCACCCACTAGGCACTGCATATCCATGTGCCAGAATTGGCGTGCTGCTGCACGTGCGCACGTGCAGGGGTCGTTTCCAGATCTCGAGAACGGCTGGACCGATGGCGGTCAAATTTGGTACACGGTTAGGGACCAGCTAGTAGGGTGCCGTGCACAAGTCAGTTGGGACCCATTTTGCACGTGCGCACGTGCAGGGTGCCGCTCCCAGATCTCGAGAACGGCTGGGCCGATTGTGCTCAAATTTGGCACATCGCTAGAAACCGGTCAGTAGGTTGCCGTGCACAAGTCAGTTGGAGGTACCCCCTCGAAATTTCGCACGTGCAAGACTCACCCCCTCGCTCGCTCCGTTAGTCGCCCCAAGAGGCGCTATACTGGTGGTACAATTGACCATGAAAACTCGGCCATCCCAGCATAGTGACCATGAGCGCACCGGCCAAGTTGCCCCGCTAGTCCCGGCCAAATTACCCCATATTGCCATTCTGAAAATTTTTGTGTATAAAGTCATCACGGCTATACGGAATTAGATGAAATTGCTCTTGGAGCCGCTGAACACCGCCAAGAATGGCGCTATAATGTCTGAATTCGTTTTTAGCCCAAATACTACATGTTATACAACTTTGTAAACAGAAGTAAAAGTTACCATTTTCTAATGAAATTAACGTTTTATTAATTTTGAATAAAACTACGAGGAGCAAAGTTTTGACATTTGTCCTCCAGTTATTTTTACCCATGACAAATGAATAGAGACTAGAGTTATTTCACTCACTTTTATTAGACATCGTACAGGTGGGGGCGGCCAATTTACACCACCGGCCAAATTACCCCACTCTCCCCTAGCCACCCTTAGGTACACACCTGCACCAACGTTTCCAAAAGTGCTTTGATATGTCGGGCACTTTGGCACAGTGACACTTGCCGACTGGCCTTTCTATATGAACTGGGACTGGCCCTGGTGAGTTGCCGGGGCTGAGGATAGGCCGAGCAGCCCCCAAGCACTCACCGCACCCGGCTACGGGCGAGCTCGGCTTGCGGGCAATCCCAAATGGGATTAAGTTTCCCGTCCAGTCCTGATCAGAGGGTTGCGGCGTGGAGGAAGATTTGACTTCCCTGAGGATATTTTGAATACAGAAGCTCTTTATGAAACATGAAACATGAATTTTATATTATTTTAACGGTCAAAACAGCGGCCGATGTCGCCCCGACGTCGGCTGGACCTCGGCTGGACGTCGGTACATGCCAATGCGGGCGTACCTGACGGCTGACATCCAGCCGACGTCGTGCCGAGGTCGGACCGACGTCGGCATGCCGATGCCGAGATGCCGACGTCACCCCGATGTTTGCCGACGTCGGGCCGACGTCGGCATGTTTACTGGGATACTGGTATGCCGTAGGTAGCAGCCCTTGCCTAATGCATTTGAATTATGTCACGCCAATCCTGACCATGCCATAAAACATAACGGATAATACATACATGTCAAATTTCAGGTCCTATGATGACTTGCTTCCTGTGGGGATCATGCTTGTTCATCCTTACCTTATTTCGTTTCCGTATTCCGTATATCCCTTGCCCTGTAAGTTATTTGAGAGGCCTGTAATAGTACCGCATATCTTGAAGATACGCCTCCTTTATCCCAAGATGATATTAAACACCATTTATACCTCAATTAGGTCAAAATAACAGCAATTTCGGCCGGGTCGTGCTTCTGCTACCTGCGCTATGCTGGCTCAGCTGGCTTGCTCAAGGCCGGCTAGAGGCATTTGTAAACAACATTGCAAAATAAGAAAATATATAGGTGTATAATAAAAGTTGAATTGTTTATGATATTTATTTCCTACAATGCAATTTTCAAATCTTGATTATAATAGAAAAAAAAAATTTAAAAGAAAAAAATGTATTTAAAAAAAATTCATTTGGCAATTATTTGTTCATTCGTCAGTTGAGAAAATAAATTTGTGAAGTTGTGTTACATATAATGCGCATGTGATACAGTTGCAGCTGTTGTAGCAATTTGGCAGGTTGTTGACTTTTTATTCCAATTCCATAACAATAAACTGCGGTAGCAATTTACCTGTAGGGATCAGTATGAGTTTTTCAAAAACAATTAAAATATTTGTTTCTTTCTCTATGTCTTTGATTTTTATGATGGTTATGATCAGTTCATCTGTTGAAGCATACTCGTATATAAAAGGTAGGTATGGTATGTAGATACCTATGGTATGATTAATGGGATTTGTGATAAAATGTATCTATTGGTATGATTAATGGGTACCTAGTTAGGTCAGAAAAAATATGGATGTTGGGTAGAGGCATGAGAGGTGCCCTCAGGGCTTGTAGCAGTGCTCGCAACACTGAATTACCCAAAAATAAACAATATAAATTTAAAAGTAAATCGTTAAAAAGCCCTAAAATACCAAAGCTACAGGAATTCGAAATAATATTTTTAAAATGTTCCTCAATTTGTGTTGTGATCTTTGTGGCCAAAAAGAGGTGCTGTACCCAGAGATATTTCTTTCTGACCAAACCTAACCTAGCCTACAACCTATAACCTACAACCCAAAACCTACAACCCAAGGCTATATAAACCCTACAACCTATGACCTACATCTCTGGGTATATAGTGCCTCTCCTTGGTTGCAAAAAGAAGTGTGATGCCTGCTCTATAACTACCAGTAAATATGATAGTGTCACAGCAATAATGCACATTCCATGCGAACCAGGTTGATAGATATGCGACTGAGTTGTTTTGAACATAAGCTTCATGATGTGTTGGCCACCAAACAGAAAAAGCCTACCAACCTTAAACCTACATATCATTGAGACTTCATATTCACATTGTATCGAACAGCCCTTGGGTTATTGCATTTTGGAAGTTGGTCCTGATTAATTAAGGGTGTCTGGATTGCTTCAGCTGGATTCATGCCAAGGTCTATTCTATTCTTTACAAACTGCTTAATAATTGTATAGGAAGCTCGGACCCAGACTGGAAAGCATCCACACTGATACACTTCTCCAGAATTCAGACTACATATTACAGCAAGAAGTTTAATTCAACTTTGCTGCCATTTCAGGAGAGACTCCAGTGGAGGCGCACTGTCCTGGGGAATACTGTGGGCGAATCCGCCTGGACAATGGCAACTGGAGCTCATGCCAATCCTGCCCGCGTGGATACAGGTACCTTTTAACTTCTGCAGGCAAGGGAATGGTATTGCTACCATCTGTAGCATGTACTGCCTTGCTACAATATCCTTATCTGTTGTTGGCTACTACAGAACTACAGGTGCACTCATACTGCCACTGCAGGTTGAGGTGTTATGTTCTGTTACAGGCAGAATTGTCTATAGGTACTGCTGGATGCTGGCTGACTGATTCTTCTAATTGAGTCACTCCTTACATATTCAGGCCTGTTGTGTGTTGCCATCATTAGTGATGCAACTGCACTTTTAGGTCACATCCTGTGGGTCAGTTTTTATTATTACATATGTTCTCTGAATGTGTATGTTCTTAGATACCTATGCTCAATATATTCTAACTTTTCTGCTGCTCTCAGCACTTGCTTGCTTTCTCCCATCGCTCATCCTGTTCGTGCCTACTGTGCTGCTGCTGCTGAATCAATGAGACACCGTGACTGCCATAACCCACCACTGACCACGCTCTCCCCCGCTCAGGGCGAACGAGAGCTCGTCGTGCGCGCTGTGCGACTCTGAGCCCACCTTCTACGACAGCATGTACCTGGGCTTCATGGGCCTGCTGTCGCTGCTCATGCACTGGGTGTGCATCGACCGGCACGCGCGCAGCGCCAGGTGAGCACCTCTGGGGGATCTGAGAGGGGAGTGGGGCAGTGCTGTGCCGTGTGCGACGGCTCTGACTCTACTCTGAGTCGCCTGAAAGGGGTCAGTAATGGTAAATGATACAGAAGGTTTGTGTGAGAGAGTGGGTAGGCTGGGGTGAAGGCATTTGTGGCTGTGAGTCATGATGGCTGGTTTAATGGTCTCTTTGCTGTTTTTCCTTGGCTATCGATGGAGTTTGCGCATTTCGGTAATATCGTTATTTGTTCCCAACATGATGCGTTTTTTGCGATTGAATAGTAATATAATGATATGATGATAATAGGTAGTGATGTTGCCTGCTGAATCACTGCCTGCTGCCGCTCCCGTGAGCGGTGCGATGAACCCCGTACCGCGTAACATCCTTCATGTGCGTTTCCGCTGCCATAGCCCCTGGTCATCGCTCTACTCCCCTCCGTCCCCAGATTCACGATGGGTATTGTGGTGTGGTATTTTTCGGCTCTGCCCTCCCTGACTGATCTCTGGCTGACCCCTCCCTCCCTCCGAACAGGACCTCTCGGCACTGCACTGACCCCCTCCCTCCCTCCCTCCCCTCCCCAGGTTCACGGTCGGTATCGTGGTGCAGCATCTCTCGGCTCTATACTGACCCCTCCTCCCCTCCCCAGGTTCACCGTCGGTATCGTGGTGCAGCATCTCTCAGCTCTGGCCGAGTCGGTACTGGCCGCCGCCGGCACCCTGCTGCTAACGGAACCCATCGGCTCTGTGAGGGTCACCTCGTGCCGCGTCAAATCGCTGGCTGACTGGTACACGGTGGCTTACAACCCGACTCCCAACTACGAGCAGACGCTCAGCTGCACCCAGGAGGCCGTCTACCCGCTGTGAGTAGCTACCACCCGACCCCAGTCTACCCGCTGTACCCCCGGCCCCACTCTACCCGCTGTGAGTACCACCCGAGCCCCGTCTACCCTTCGTGAGTACCTACCACCCGACGCCCAACTAGGGGACGGACAGTCAGCTGCACCCAGGAGGCCGTCTACCCCCTGTGAGTAGCTATAACTACCCGACCCCAGTCTACCGGCCGTGAGTACTAGTAGCTTTGCAATTTTAACCTAGTCTACCAGCTGTAAGTGCTGTAGCTGTACCCCCTTGATCCCCAGTCTACCCACTGTGAGTGATGGTATGGTAGCGGTTCATTTAGTGGAACTCAGATCAGTATATTGAAGTATTGGAACCGGTTAATGTAATGGAAATTAGATTAGATTATATATGATAACACACATCGTTACAGTACAAGGTTCTTTTCAATGTCCATTAATATTTGAAGTAGGTACACCGTTTATTAACTTCTTCATCCCAGAAAAAAAGATAATTTAGAATGTGACTGAATTATTCCCGAAGCTCTCAACATTTCCAATAATCCCAAAGCATTATGAGATGCAACAGAAACAAAAGGATAAACTAAAAAGAAACCCATGACAAGTTTCTGGGTACAGCTAATACCATTATACCGTTTTAGATTATTCTAGGCACCGCCAGTCTCAATAATAGCCTCCTTTACCTCGGTATGAAGCACACAACTCCCACTGCGCCGACGAGCCGTGAAATCGGTCGGATTTTATGCTGCGAACCGAGCACAGGCTGGTACGCTTTCTGTCCTCGGGCGGCCGGCCGTCTGCCCACATTGTTTGCCCTTGGTCTGTGTGGCTATTATTACCCCTCACCGGTAAGGATATGGATCAAACGACTCGCGCGGCATTGCTGGGGTGGCATGGGAGAGGAAATCTGCTTACACAAATACGTGTCTGAATTATTTGTATGGCTACACTGTGTTATGCGCTTGAATACTTCAATTTTTCGGGGATATTTTATTAGTTACTGAAGTTTGTGTTTCAAGAGCGATTGGCTGGGTCAGGCAGGTTTTATTATTACGGAGCGAGCGAAGCGAGCGTAGTCTTTCCTTAGATTAACGGAAATTTCTGAGTATGAGCGGCCGGCCGGCCGGCCGGCCGGCCGTGGTCACGCTTTTGCGAGGCTTATATCTCAGCAACCACTTGACCGATTTACATGCGGTAATTTTTGTAGGGTAGCTTCATTCCTTCTACCAAGTATTGGACTATTCCCGATGCATGTGGGTGACCCCTTATGCACGTGCCACGTGCAAAACGAAGAGGTGTCACTTTTGTAATTGTTGCAATATCTCGGTAACTACTTGGCCGATTGCGCTGAAAGTTGGCATGTAGGTAGGCACCCACTATGCAATGCATATCCATGTGCCAGAGTTGAGGTGCTGCTGCACGTGCGCACGTGCAGGGGTCGATTCCAGATCTCGAGAACGGCTGGACCGATGGCGCTCAAATTTGGTACATGGTTAGGGACCGGTTAGTAGGGTGCCGTGCAAAAGTCAGTTGGGACCCATTTTGCACGTGCGCACGTGCAGGGTGCCGCTTCCAGATCTCGAGAACGACTGGGCCGATTGTGCTCAAATTTGGCACATCGCTAGAGACAGGTTAGTAGGGTGCCGTGCACAACTCAGTTGGAGGTACTCCCTCGTAATTTCGCACGTGCAAGGCTCACCCTCTCGCTCGCTCCGTTAGTCGCCCCAAAAGGCGTTATACTGGTGGTAAATGTTGGCGATAAAACCAGGACGATTCTTTACGACGCGATATAAACCTACATTGGCGACAGTTGTCATTCGTTACGGAGCGAGCGAAGCGAGCGTAGTCTTTCCTTAGATTAACGGAAATTTCTGAGTATGAGCGGCCGGCCGGCCGGCCGGCCGGCCGTGGTCACGCTTTTGCGAGGCTTATATCTCAGCAACCACTTGACCGATTTACACGCGGTAATTTTTGTAGGGTAGCTTCATTCCTTCTACCAAGTATTGGACTATTCCCGATGCATGTGGGTGACCCCTTATGCACGTGCCACGTGCAAAACGAAGAGGTGTCAGTTTTGTTATTGTTGCAATATCTCGGTAACTACTTGGCCGATTGCGCTGAAAGTTGGCATGTAGGTAGGCACCCACTAGGCACTGCATATACATGTGCCCGAGTTGGGGTGCTGCTGCACGTGCGCACGTGCAGGGGTCGTTTCCAGATCTCGGGAACGGCTTGACCGATTGCGCTCAAATTTGGTACACGGTTAGGGACCGGTTAGTAGGGTGCCGTGCACAAGTCAGTTGGGACCCATTTTGCACGTGCGCACGTGCAGGGTGCCGCTTCCAGATCTCGAGAACGGCTGGGCCGATTGTGCCCAAATTTGGCACATCGCTAGAGACCAGTTAGTAGGGTGCCGTGCACAAGTCAGTTGGAGGTACCCCCTCGCAATTTCGCACGTGCAAGGCCCACCCTCTCGCTCGCTCCGTTAGTCGCCCCAAAAGGCGTTATACTGGTTTTACCCTTTTTGATGGTTCACTGGTTTGGCCGCACACAGGCCCTGTTTTTGTCAAGTCAAAGTCAACAAAATATGGTTGTCTGTGTTTTTGCTGTCCTTGACTAAGATGACTATGAGCCGAGTGTGTGAATGACATCGCCACACACAAACACAACATGACGAACATGAGAGGAGATTCTTGGTAACACTTTGCAGGCAACACGATTCCGATCAGAAATCGCTGGGCACAGAGCCCCACCCACGGGCACTAGACATAACTAAGTACAAAAACCCTTTCTAAACCTATTGGTCAGATAAAGTGCCCTATTTCAGCCTGTATACTGCCTTGGTTTCAGGTACAGCATGGTGTTTCTGTACTACACGCTGTCGCTGGTTGCCATGGTAACGATCCGGCCGTGGTTGGCTGCGCGGTACCTGCCCGGCAGCGGATCCAGGGCCGTGTTCACGGCGCTCTACTTCTTCCCCTCTCTGGTCCTCGTGCACGCCATTTTCGCCGGGATTCTGTGTGAGTACGGGGAGAGAACTGTCGGTTTGTGGTTAGAAGAGTGTTTGTTGTTTAGCGTATCAGTTCTTGGTTCACGTTTTGTTTGGTCTGAGCTGATGATCCTTTGCTCAATGCTCATATGCTACCCCAAGGGGCATTTGCACTTTTCAACGAAGGTTTCTACTTTCTAGTTGTCCTTTCAGAATAAAGGTTGCATCACCGCCACCGATTTTTTTTCATCAGCTCTCCCCTTTCCCCACAGCAACCTGACACCCTCCCCCCCCCCCCCCCCCGGTTTCACTCCCAACAGACGAGATATTCCCATACCTGGTGATGGTGGCGTCTGTGATCTCCGTGGCCGTGCACTACGCGTGCCAGCTGAACCAGCAGATGCGCGCCCTGGTGCTGCACTCTGTGACGGAGCTGCGCAGCGCCGTCATTGTCCTCGGACACTGGCTGCTGCATGCCTACGGCCTGGTGGCGGTCACACAGCTGAGTCGGCCGCTGCTTCACTCTCTGATGCTGCTCCTGGTACCGTTCCCCACTGTGTTTTATATTATCACCGTGAGGTTTACTGACCCGGCGCGGATGGGGACGTCATAGGGGGACGGGGGGATGTCATAGGGGGATGGGTGATATCATAGAAGGGACAGGGTGGAGTGGGGATGTAGAGAGTACTTGGTGGGGTGTGGATGGGGTGTCCGAATGACGCTGTGTGACAGGGATGGGATTAAATGAGATGCAGGCACGGCATTGGACTTCAGCCGTGGAAACGTGGATATCCAGGAGTTTTGAAGATCCCGGTTTTCCTTTACGTGTTTCGATACATCTATTGGTATTTTGTTATTACACGTACAGCTCTTCATTTACAGTGCAGTTGCAGTTGGTAGTATGATTACAGTGTTTCTTTTGGCACAAACAGAAAGCCAAGGTTTTGTCGCATTGTGCTCGGCATCGTATCTGTTTTTACTTCATGTCTCATTGATGTGTTTTTTTGCATGCTACTAGATGGCGCTGAATTGGGCTATAGGTGTCGCTACTGTGCCGCACTAAAGTCACGATCTCGTGAAAAGTGAGCTCGGCTGGTGTGGAAGCCGAGCACGACGGCTGTCGAGCGCCAGGTGTCGCTCTCACTTGGACATGCATCGGTGCAAGAGAAATGACGCCCTTCTGTCGTATGAAACTCGTAACAGCGTCCCGTTATCTGTCCTGCCAAGGGTGGAATGTTGCGAAGCGCGATGTGAGGGAAGTGAGGGCCGGGGTGCGAGTTACCTAAGTGTGGAACTACCCAGCGCCGAGCCGGCCGGATGACGTCACACCACGGCCAGTGCCGGCGCGGCGGCAGACTGGCCGAGATTGGCATGGTCTTAACTTGGCGAAGAGGCATCGGACGCCAAACTTCTGCTGCAGCTATTAATCACATTTCATGCGTTTCTTCCATGTGTATGAGCTATCAAGTCCTTCGAATACCTAATGTGTAGGTGAGCGTACCTGCATTTAGCAGTGTGTGCTATAAGATAAGCAACTGCTGATTGAATTTCTGGCGAGGGTTGGTGGAACGCTCTGTTTACAAATGAGTATCTGCCTACCTACCTAGTACCTACCTGCAGTGGCAAATAACTGGGTCGCGGTCAGTTAGGCATGACTCACGAAGTCCCTTATCTTTTATTAGACTTATTAAGCCCAATGTGCAACATTTGCGTCTTTTCGCGTTGTATCGGGTAGCAAATGAGAAAATCTGCTTCTTCCCCACAGCCCTCAATTCAAGAAACCGTCCGTTTTCCTTATCGCATCATTCCAGAACATAATTTTCAAACATGGGTATCTTCCCCTAAAAAAAAAACTGAAGCAGTTTCCTTCGGCTCCAATGCGCCGCTCGCCCAGGGAGACGGAAGTGTTATATTCTCGGCGGTCCAGTCTGCATTCTGCAGCACACTCAAACTTGGCGGACCCCCAGCGCACGACTGAACGATTCGTATTGTTGTGAGTGACTGTGACAATTCACTGGTGGTTTCGGAATAACTAACAGGCGGCGCAGCCCAGTGCCTCTTACAATGAATACAGTGGCGAATGCACTATTGCAGAGAAGAAATGGATTGAGCAGATGCCCAACCTCGCTGTATTATCAACTAAACATTAGGTACGCTTTACATTTTAATCAGGCAATCATGTAAACAAACGACTTGCGAGTTGCGACCCTTCCGCCTTACATAACTCGGCAGAATGCCCCTGAGTCGGCTAAACTACACTGCATCTCTTCAAACCTTAAGTATTTTACAATTTACCACTCAGCTATGCAACAGGCTTATAATTCACTGCTCAAGTCTCAACCCCTTTTTCCCTATCATCTTTTTTGGCACCGTCAATCGCCATCTGCGCTGCCCACTGTCCAGCAAATAATCCGGCCGTCTCCAGTTCTCTGGCAGGGGCTTCCAAACTCAAGCGAACTCGCCGAAGTTTCGCCATTCAATGCGCAGAATCTGTACAATTCAGTTTGAGAGCCTCTGGGTTGGCTCGGCGCGCCTGCGCCGCGCCGTTGGTCCGGCCAAGTACGCGAGTGACGTCATGCTATAAGCGTCATCCCCCGACCAAAGTCACCAATCAGAGCCCTAGAATCGACTTGTAGTTCCACACTTAGGTAACTCGCGGCCGGGGTGGGGCTCGGTACCCAGCGATTTCTGATCGGAATCGCGTGTTTTTTTTTGTAATTCACACAGGTGCGCGATCTAGGTGCGGCGCGAGCAAGTCTTTCATGTGAGTTAATTTAGTAGGCTGAACAGTGCTAGTAGCGTGTTAATTAGCGTACCGTTCTGTCAACGTTGACTGCTGATCCGTTTTCCGGTGTGTCGGAATACACTACATCCCCGTAAATAATCAGCATGTTTCACGGCCGTTCCTGAATGACACACAGTCACCAGCTGATGTTTTTGGGCTTCCGCTTCTTACCGAAGCGGTGCGGAACGTATGTAATGTGGTGAAAGGCGGTCGACATGACCGTCACAGAGCATGCAGTGGATGTCTGGTGGACATACCAGACGTAAGACTCGCGGACTCGGCACCTATTCTGTTGGGAGCACAAAGCATACCGGTGGAGTGCGGTGCCGGCAGTGACATCAGCTAAAATAGGCCGACGGGCGTATTTATGAGGACTGAACAGTGAACATCTGCTGCAACCATGTCCTACTTCCAGGTGATCGTTCCGTATGGTTTGCACATCGGAGCTTGTTTGTCTCGACAAGGCATAATTTTAGCTAGTGTTTTAGCAAACTGCTGCTCAGTGCTCATGCCGTTTGCGGTTTGATAGTCATTAGTGTTGGTCTGATCTGATCAGACCTTCGGCCAGCATCTTGTGAGCGAACAGACAGCTAGAATCACTAAACGCACCGAAAAAAAAACTGCCGAATCGAGCTCGGTTCAGCAGCGTTTAAAGAACAAGACTCCGCTGGAGCCACAAGCAGCAACCATCCAATAGCGTGTGCCTCCTGCAAGCAATCGGCATTAGTTTGCTTTTGCACAGTACAGCTTACCCACATCAAACCTTATAGTTGGCATACGCCCAATCGGGAATGTGAGCAAACACATCGCCAGGCTCACACTTGACTCGTGTCAATCTCTAATCAGAACCGTTGGTGACACACTTCTTATCACCTAAAAAATGAATACATAAAATTAAAATCCTCTCCCGTTCTGAACCGACAGCCCTCTGCTCTACCCGACTCACCACTCCGTGCAACTCCCATATCTCCCGGCGCGCCGTTTTGAAATCGGCCCCCGGTTTTCACTGGCCGTAAATCCTTGGTCACAGATTGGGGCTAAAGACGAGCCTGTCACACTGTCAGCAGCAAGTGTCGCCATCGGTGGCTCCTCGGTCGCAGATCCGCTGTAATCCACCCGGGAAAACTGCCAGGCCGGCCGGGCGCATAGCTGAGCTCCCGCTGTACGCGCTCTAACGGACCGGAGACACGCGACTGGTGCCCCCGGGGGATGCCTGGGTCGTGTCTGGGGGCTGACGGAGCCGACCGGAAAGAGGGGTGGGTGAGCCATGGGACTGGGAGGGAGAGAGGGGGAGTGGTGGGGCGGTCTGGGAAGAGTGGTGGACTGGGCAAGGCGAGACATGTGGATTCGTGACGAGAAGAGGTAGGTGATTTCTGAATTCCTACGGTCAGTTTTCTTGGTCCGACCACATTTTTGAACTTGCCGTGGGATCGAGACTCGCGTGTCGTGCCAGCCTTGCTGTGGGAGTCTGAATCAGTTATCGACCAGGGGCTAGGTCACCCAATGGCCGATCGGCTCGTGGAAAGGAACATGACGGTGCCGTTTGACCTACTTAAATCATCCGCCCTCTCCAGGTCAAGGTCGTCGGTGTGACCACTGCGGTGTGAAGAAAGGAATTCGAACGCGATCAGACGGGATTTTTTAGTCTCTTTCGCCACGGAGTGAGGATTCGCTATCATGCAGCTGCCGAGTGTCGCCCTATCAAATGTGCCTCGCTCGAGACACTTGTGATTTGAGAAGAATTCGACCCGATTGTCGCACACGTTATATCACGTTCCTGGCATGGTTATGCTAGCTCCTACACTATGCGTCCGCCTTGGCCACGAATCTACGAGACCATTTGGTGCAAAATATCGACCGACGTGTCCCAATTAACGTTCAGAAATATTGCGTCAGGTGGCACAGTTCGGCCAGCTCGGCAGTGTTGCAGCCATCGGCAGAGACCTGCGAGCGGCGGCGATTTCTAATCCGCTCGGCACTGGTCTGCGTCCTCGGCGGTGGTGAGGAGTTGCGCAACAGCGCGAGCCTTGACTGGACCGCACACCGAAGGTAACGGTGCACCCCCCCCCCCTCCCCGCCCCGCCAGCTCGACCGTTTGTGCGTGATTGCGTGAGTGAGGCTGGCTCGATCGGCAAGGACATGGAGGAAGTAGGAACGAACTAGGAACGGCCCAGCTCGGAGCAGCGGCCGAGCGAGCGTGATGGCAGCTGTCCTCGGCCGGGTATCGGCCCGCCTCCCCCGCCTGCCGCCCCCGCCCCCACCGTGCAGGGCCGACAGCGGTGATCCCCGGTTGGCAGTCGGTTGACCTGTCCTCATTGCACCACGCGACGGCAATGAATTGACGGGGCCGGCCTGCTGGCCGCTCCGGCACGACTGGTCCGACGGGCCAGCCGGCTGGGCTACAGCAGCGGTCGGGTGGGAGAGGGCTGAGGTGGAGGTGACAGGAGCCAGCCAGCGAGGTCCCTGCCGCTGCCGCTGCTCTATCCTGATCCAGTCCGACACCTGCGGAGCGGAGCCGCGCTCGGCGCTCGCAGCGGGCTGTCCCGCCGCCCGTGCAGCGGGGCCGGTCGGCGGGCTGACGGCCGGGCGGCCTCGGCTGGCTGCCCGACGCCGGTTTCCGGGTGCCCCCTGCCGCTGTGAGCCGGGACGGCGCGGCGGCCACGCACAACGAACGGTGCAGATGATGAAACCCGACAGCCGGCGCCGACCGCCGTCCGTCGGCTGCGCCCACAGCACGCACGCAGTAGAGCCTGGTGAACCGTGCTCAACATGCGGCCCATTCCCCGGCCTGTGGGCTCCGGCGTGGGTTCAGCATTCCACCGAGCTGCGCTGCGGACTGAGCCGGGGCCGTGAACCGATCGATGCTCGCGTGCTGTCTCGGGGCGGCCTACATGTTGTAACGGCGGACCGCCAGCGTCGCTGTAACGTGCTGCTCCGCTGTGAGACCAGCTGGCTCGGCTCGGGCCATTATGCGTCGGGAGAAGGCTATGATGAGGCGCAGGCGTATATGGCAGTGACTAAATTTAGTTCCGTCTCACTGTATGCAAATGTCCTTGACCCGGTCTTCAACGCGGCTGCTTTTCGGCCTAGCAATTGAGTCGGGGTAGCCTATGCATGAATTTTATATCAGGGCTGTCATCAGAGCTCCAACCAGTGCCGGGCAACTCCCGAGCTGATGTGCGCACTTTACTGTTGTGTGAACGACATGGCTGTGAAAACAGGCTGACTCGATTCGATACACTTGTGCACATTTTCTTATTTCGATACGAAGGTCTTGTCATAGACCTCTGTACACCGGCAGTTAAGTTAATGAAGTTTGAGTTTGGTGTACAGAGGTCTATGCCTATGGTCTTGTAAAAATAAATAGCTAAGATAACAGACAGCATACAAAGAAGTTGGCACGCATATAACTAGATAGCCAGTGTCACGCTGGCGATTTTTAAACGAGCACAAAGATCGAAAATTAGAAGTAACCACAACATGTGGCATGAACTGTGATTCTTCTGCGAGCAATTCTGGTCTCTGGATTGAAGTGGTAGTCAGTAGCGGCGGAGCACCTTCACAATTAACCCGGCCGGGCCCGGGGGGTAAACCCAACCACCGCAGCCCGGGGGGGGCGTTTTTCGCCGCCCCCCCTGTCTAACTCCGTAAATAATGGAGCTACGGAAACAAAAGTGATACCAAACGAAAGGTCCTTACGAGACGATTCTAAAGCACCTAAAATTTTTGACCTCAGGTCAATTTTCAAGGTTAGAGGTCAAGGTCAAAGGCAAAAACCTGCACATGTGTAGTGATCTCAAAGTAAGCCTTCTAGAGGACGGCGGGCTGCATCAAACCGGCAAATTTGGGTGTCAAACGAAAGAAGAGAATCTGAGGATTCCGAAAATGTGCTCAAAATGAAAGGTCCAGGTCAAGGTCACGCTCAAAATTGACCTCAAACTTGGCACTTTTTCACACATCTTGCGTGCTAACTTCCAAGATGTTTTGAAATGTTTTGAGGCTTATCAGTTCCCTATTTGTGGTTCATCTTACGATACAAGGCTGCTCAAAGGTCAAGGTCACAGAAGAGTATCCCTGCTAGAGGCTATTTCACTGATTCAAGTTAGTAATAATAAATAAGACAATTTTGCCATCCGGAAGCTCTAAATGAAGGCTTAGAGGAAAATATATGCCAGATTCGTGATCAGCGGGTACAAATCCATCATAAACGACCTTTCATGTGACAAGGTCAACCAGAGGTCATTCGAGGTCACATGAGGTCAACATAAAACTTGACCTTTTCCGAACAAAATATATATCATTCGACGCGGCTTGACAAGGCGAATGCGATGGTGCAACTGCCATAGGTCTAGAACCATTTTTGTCGAAGTTATTTGCGAGAAACTAAAACCACATTTCGGGGTCGTTGACCTGACCTCTAACCTCAGGTCACCAAAACTATTTTTCTATTTTTCTCTAGGTCAAGCGCTACACAACCGTGCTCGTTATTTGTCTTTATCTCTAAAACTCTATTTTTAGCAGCTATTTGAAGTTTGCGTCTGTGACGCCGAAGTTTGCCGTGCAGGGGTCTAGAAAAATGGACCTTGTGACGTCATCAAGGGGGCTAGGTCCAAATTTTTTTACTTCAGAAGATGTCAAATTGATAGGAGAAAAGGTACTGAAAGTTTCGCTTTCCTATCCCTAAGCGTTCGGGAGCTATCGCAAATATTCGCCGGGGGGGGGCGAACAACGCCCCCCCCCCCCGCGCCCCGCGAGGCCCCGCGCCCCGCTGGGCTATTCAGCCATATGTACGCGCCCTGCTGGGGGGGGGGGGGCAGATTCTGCCCCCCTGTCTTACTTCCGAACCGATGGTCGTAGAAAGACGGGGAAAACGGCAATCGAAAGCTCTCAACAAGGCGGATCTAAGGAGCCCATTTTTTTGCTTAAGTAGGTCAGAGGTCAGGTCAAGGTCAGGTCAAGGGTACAAGATGCAAGTTTCTACAGTATCGGCCTTGCACCGTAGTTGCCGAAGAATGGACTGGGACTGATTGCCCAAAACGTGTTCTTAGACTACCAAGACAATACTCGTTGCATACAATGTCATTCAAAGGTCAAGGTCA